TATTTGTAACAATCTCAAACTGGAAACAACCCAAATGTGTCAGTTAGTGAGTGGAGGAACAACCTGTAGTATATACATAGCAAAGAATTATTACTCAGCAATAAAAAGAGGTGTACTGTTGATATACTCCACAACATGAATGAATCTTCAACGTGTTATGCTATATAATGTATTATTTCATTTACATGATGTTCTGGAAAAGACAAACCTATAGGCAGATAACAGATTAGTGGTCAGGGGGTGGGAGAGGGGTTGACTAGCTCAAGAGAATTTTGTAGGCTTATGAAACTTTTCTGTATGTTATTGCGGTGGTGGTTACACAACTGTACATTTGTCAAAACTAATAGAATTTTACAATAAAAAGAGTGATTTTTACTGTCTGTAAAGAGGGGCGAAAAAAGATAATGGGAAGAGGAAATTTGTCCAAAAGATAATGGGAGGAAATAAATTAGAAAGNCTTATATTAGAAGATTCATTTAGCTCAGGTGAAGACAGCAAAAGTTAATCACTGGGGTCGAGCAATACTGATCAAGGGGAGGGAAAAACAAGACTGTACCAGGAAATGAATGTGATCTATGTCACACCAAGGCAGTAACAGAAATAAAGTGAGATACCTTCATCCTGAAAAAGGTGATGCTTGTTAGCAGGTCAACAGTTGACTTGAGGTCTTGCAGTCTTTCGGTATTGCTGGCAGGAAAGTTTTCCTGGTTAATTAGGAAACAGAAAATGGATAAAGTTGTCAGCATTAAACCTCCAGTGGGAAAATAAACTAAAACTAGTTTTCTGTGAAAGAAGATGGAAAGTAAACTGCACAGAACTTTAAAAAATCCCTTAAGTGTTTACAAAATATTTTTATCACAGAACATTATGAAAAATAAACAAGTTGGAAATATTCTCTTCTTAGTCTTAGAAAGCCATACATTTTTATTTATCCCCACAATGGAATAAAAATATGCAAAACAATATCATTATTTCAACGTTATTGTGTAATTAATCCTTGTCCATAGATAGTTTTGCTACTAGAGGAAGGGAAGGCAACATATATTTGAAAATATTTTTACAATTTTGTCAAGATAAGCAAATTTTTTTTCCAAAAATTCCCTTGGGAATTGTACACATGCTTTAGTTATTTTTAGTTGCAAACAAACTTTTAAAGGTATTCCTTCTGCCCTCTGGTTCATTCCCCACTCGCTGATTGCTATCATCTGGCGTCACCTCCCAAATAAACTATGTGCACTGGGAAATAAGTGAATAGATTAAATAAATATATGTGAAAAAGAAAAAAAGATTTTACTGTATAGTCTCTCCTGAAGTACTGCAGATTTCAACAAAAAGTTTCACCATCATTTAAAAATACAGATGTTTACAATTTTTAGGGAAAGGAAAGGTATAATTATGAAAATGTTGAAGTAAGAAACAATTTTAACATTGAGAAATTGAACATGCTGATGTTAGCATGCTCTCAAATTGGCTTTCTAATGAGTTGTCAGGAAAACCACAGCCAACTTCTAGATATTCGTGAAGTCGAGCAGAGTTGGGGGGTGCCTCAATGATGGTGAACAAGGTGGCCTCAAGGCCCTTCCTGCCGCCAAATATCTTTTTTTGTTTTTTTTTGTTTTGAGACTGGCTGCACCGTGCTCAGCCAGTGAGCGCAGCGGCCATACCTATATAGGATCTGAACCCGCGGCGGGGGGGC